ATAGGGGATTTGGAAAAGAAGGAAAGAAATTAAATCGGGTGAAAGGAATCATAAACATCTATTTTACAACTTACTGAGTTCAGATATGCTCCCCACCCTTGTGGCCAGTAAGCACTGTTCTATGGCACGCAGCTCGGACTGACTGTAGGGGTTTCCCTCCCTGCTCTTCCCCGCTCTCTGCTGCTGCTGGTCCCTGTGAAGAGTCAGACCCTCAGGTAGGCTGAGCACACCTGAGGAAAAGTGGAAAAAAAACATTTAAAAAGAGTTCAGCATTTCATCAGTGTCATGGCAGAGTGAGCAGTTAGTGAGAGTTTAAATATGTTCTCAGATTCAGTCAGCATATGAAATAATACTATACCTGATAATGTTTTAATAAATGTCTTAAAACAGACAGCTGATTATACCAATTCATACATTTATAGCAATAATGTGAAAGCCCTCTGAGTTTCACCAAATGAGACGTAGAGCAATTATCCACACCAAGTGTGAGAATGTGGCTGAGAGAGGAACGGAGGTGATACAGTGCAGTAATTATGATGCCTACTTATAACTGTCAGACTGTCCCAAAAGTAAAAATGTGTAATAGTTCATGCACACTTCCACAGTGACGAACTGCGACTATCAGAGTTTCTTATGGATTGTTTGCAATGAATATGTATCATCTGAGCATCCAGGAACCACAGAGCCATTTGTTTCATTTTTTGCTGCAGCAATAAAAACATCAGTAGCTAAAGCATCTTTTTTCTACAGTCTCAAACAACAACCTAATCATCAATGCCTACACAACACTACACACAACCAACAAGGACAAACCTTTATAGCACATAACCCAAAACAGTCCACCATTTCTGTGTCACAACTACCCAGCATGCACTGCGGATCAACAGGTCTCTTGTATTCATGTACATGTAATTTAAATATTTCACACTAAAATTCAACTGTAACCCACAAAACTTACTGTTTCTGTAAAATTACATTATGTAATGAAAACAAAATATAACAGTAATGATGAAAATTATCAACATAAACCTACAATAAATATTTAACTTTTATTTTTAGAGCAACTATAATTTCAGTGTGGATTTTTGAGTTTACAAGTTGCAATGGATTGCTTCACAAATTTTCACATGGTCAATAAAAGGCATTCCAGAAGGCTCAGAACACTGTTTTGGCACTGCTCTACACCAACATTGTGACTGGTTAATTTTCCTGTCAGGTACTAAACAAACTCATTCTGCCGAAATATTTATTTATTTAATTATTCATTTGCAACAAATTCATTAAAAAGAAATAAAAAAAACATTGAATGAAAAGGGGGCAGCACGGTGGCGCAACTGGTAGAGCTGCTTCCTCTCAGCGAGCAGGTCCTTGGTTCAAACCCCGGTCCAGGGGCCTTTCTGGGTGGAGTTTGCATGTTCTCTCCGTGCATGTGTGGGTTTTCTCCGGGTACTCCGGTTTCCTCCCACAGACGAAAAACATGCATGTTAGGCTGACTGGTAACTCCAAATTGTCCCTAGGTGTGAGTGGGAGAGTGAATGGTTGTTTGTCTCGTTTGTCTCTATGTGGCCCTGTGATGGACTTGAGACCCGTCCAGGGTGTACCCCGCCCCCCGCACAGTGATTGCTGGACATGGGCACCAGCGACCCCCGTGACCCAAAAATGGAATAAGTGGGTAAAGATAATGGATGGATGGATGGATGAAAAGGGTGCAGAAAGAAGAAGAAAATCTTATATCTGCCCCTTATTTAAAACAAATATAAAATTATTTATATTACTAAATATTTTGCTTGTTTTATTCAAATTTAATGATAACTTATTAAGTTGGAACCAAGTTTGTATTTTTACGAACTCTACTCTACCAGTATCATCTCTAACATCCGTTCAATATCTTAAGCCAAACAAAATAATGTGCTATCACCTGCAAATAAAACACACTTCAAAAAACCTGAGCCATCAACCAGATCATTTGCATACAAAACAAAAAGCTTTGGTCCCAACAAGGAACCCGAGGAACTCCACATCCATTAAAATAAAATTCAGATCTTACATCATTTACCTGTACAAACTGTCTCCTAGGCAGCACGGTGGCGCAACTGGTAGAGCTGCTGCCTCTCAGCGAGCAGGTCCCTGGTTCAAACCCCGGTCCAGGGGCTTTTCTGGGTGGAGTTTGCATGTTCTCTCCGTGCATGCGTGGGTTTTCTCCGGGTACTCCGGTTTCCTCCCACAGTCCAAAAACATGCATGTTAGGCTGATTGGTAACTCTAAATTGTCCCTAGGTGTGAGTGAGAGAGTGAATGGTTGTTTGTCTCGTTTGTCTCTATGTGGCCCTGTGATGGACTTGCGACCCGTCCAGGGTGTACCCCGCCCCTCGCATAGTGATTGCTGGACATGGGCACCGGCGACCCCCGTGACACAAAATGGAATAAGCGGGTAAAGAAAATGGATGGATGGATGGAACTGTCTCCTATTATTCAAATAACTGGATACCCACTGTAGTGCTAATCCTCTAATGCCATATTTATTCAGTTTTTTAAGGAGAATTGTGTGGTCAATAGTGTTGAAGGCCTTTTTTAAATCAACAAAAACGCTAACACAATACTGTTTTTGGTCAACAGCAGTTGTTTTTTCTAGTGGTTCCATTAGATTCCATGAGATTCCATGAGATTTGATTGAGCTTTGTCTTCTCTGCAGTCAGCGAAGTCCTAACCAGTAAGAAATTCCTTTCAGACAACAACTTAAAACAAACTGAATAGATGACTGTATTTTCATGACTTCAAAGGTTTCTTGCTCAACTGCAATGTAGTTTACAGAGAATAGGAACAATTAGCAAACAATAAGAATCACTACATTGAAAATACATATTTTAAATCAAATAAATATCAAACATAAATTAAATGGAACATTTCACAAGTTCTGAATTCTTGGGCCTTCTCTGAAAGCATTGAAGGCCTTGATGGTTCCCCTCTGGATTTTCCTTATTGGCACTTTTTCTCCACTCTGGGAGGGCTGAGACACAATTTTCATTTCCAGCTTTCTGTGGCATTCTTCTAAGTCTTACAAGAATATGGAAGAGCTAAAAGTAGAGACAAAGTTTATCCCTCTAATTGGAACAAAAAAAAACAGCTTTAGTTTAAATATGTCCACTTTTATAATGAGTTGTTAAATCAGTCTGTGCTGCTTGTGGAAATCATCGCATCCTTTATTTTGTTTGTGGGAACAAACAGTAATTTATAAAGCTCTAATAAAAATAAGTTAGTGTGAAATCTAAATCAAAACATGGTTCAAAGATTTTCATTAAAGCATAAGAAGACTGTGAACTAATAATTGCTGCTGTGGTGTTTGGGCCCACATAAGCCACAAAACAGACATGATTCTGTAGGAGTGGGTTCTGTGTGGACCTCCTAGGAAAATCAGTTTTTAGAAAACAGTCATTACTTGCAACGACAAATATATATGGAAGACTATTTCTGCCATTCTGCAAAACAATGCTCTAAGTCATAATTATGAGATACATTCTTGTAATTATGACTTGACACATTACAATTCTATCCATCCATCCATCCACCCATCATCTTTACCCACTTCTTCCTTTTTTGGGTTGCAAGGGTTACTGGTGCCCATATCCAGGAGTCACTGTGCCAGAGATGGCGGTCACCTTGGACAGGTTGCAAGTCACATTATAATCAAGTTCAAGGTCAAGGTCAAATTTTCTTAATTGTCATTCGCAATGTATGTGGTACATGTGGTGGAACGAAATTGTGTACACCGGGTCCCAGTTACATCCAATAAAAGTATAAATTGTAAAAGAAAAACAGTAATAAGATCTAAGATATGAACTAAGAAAAACACTAAACTAAGAAACACGCTAAACACTTAATAGTGCAAAAACAATACGCCGAACAACAGCAGCACGAACATGAGTCTGTGTTAGCAGATGAGCACTAATGAACATGAACTGGGATACAAAATAAAATTATGATTTATATTATCTTGTAATTATGAAACACTGTCATTATTATGACTTAGCATCTTATTAATATGTGATACTATGTGAAATTATGACTCAGCATTATGTGACTTTAAGGCAAAATTTTGAAATAGTATCTCATAATAACGACTTAGATATTGTTTTAAGCAAAGAGGAAGAAACAGGCTTCCATAAAGGTAATACTCTACACAGAACAAATTCAACAAGAAAGAAAGCTTGAAAAGCACTAATATCTTTTTGGCATGAGAGTTCATGTAAGATGGTTTGAGGTAAATTATTTATTTGTTTGTTTGTTATTACTACATTGAACAGAAATGCAACCTCAGGCATGATAGTTCATGCACACTTTTGTTCAAGTAAGATTACCTGAATGGCACCAAATAAAAAGCAGAAGACATCCCTATCGGTTGAGACAGTGCTAGCAGGTGTCATAAACCACTGCAGATTTTAGCTAAAAGTTCAGATGAAATAATTATATTCAAGAGAATATGCTTCTCTTAACCTGCAGAAAGGTGTCAGGAACAATCTGTCTAAAATGCTTCTTTTTATTGCTTTTACTGCTCATTATGCATCATTTGGAACAAGTGGAGGACTAAGCTTGCAAACTGCACCCCTGCACTTTCATACAATTATATATCAGTGAAAAGAGCTCATTTCAAGCGTAACCTCAGAAATCACGGTTCACCTTGCTTAATGTGTCCAAACTAAAGGTGTCTGAATATGAATATTGAGAATACTGAAGCACACAAAGTTTTCACTGCTACAAATCAGTAGACAAACTGTTTTTATTCCTGATGTTATAAAAATAGACCATACACAACTTGTTTGGTTGATTTTTGGTCTGAAAAAGTATTAAAAATCCACCAACTTTGCTTTTTGAGTCTATGCGTTCATCAGATATTTGGTTAAAACTCACTGAGGTAGATTTCATCACTACAATTTAGCTATTTTCATCGTGTACGACGAGGGCCATGAAAATGTTTACTGCACAAAGCTGCAATTAGTATGACTATTATGCATAACTGTACTTTTTTTTTTACTAATTCAAAACATTAAAATTGTGCCAACAAAAGTTAATGCAGTAAAAACGAACGGCGCATTGCTGTTACTCTCAAGCTCTTGACTGTCAAGCTCCTTAACCTTGATTCAGGGGACTAAAAAGCCAATCTGACAGTGAAGTGGTGATTGCTCTCAGGATGGACTTAGGGAAGGTGACTCTAAAACTCCGAGTCTTAATGCATG